GAATTGTTGGAAAAGGTTCGGAGGAGGGTTACTAGAATGGTGCCTAGGATTTAGGGTTTGTCACGTGAGAGATTAAGATCTTTGAGACTGTTGAAAAAAGAAGAGCTAGGGGGTATCTTATTGAGGTTTTTAATATTGTAAAAGAAACTTATAGTGTTGATGCATCATATTTTTTTCATACTTAATGGCAAAAATAGTTGAACTAGGAGAGACCAATGTAAATCTTGGTAAGGTAGGAATCATTTTCAGCTAAAACAGTTTTATTTTTCTTACAGTGTGGTTGCCCTCTGGAATGGGTTGCCTTCAGATGTTGTGGAAGTAATAAATTAAGTGAGTTTAAGAAAAAGCTTCATAACTATATGAATAATAAGGGCCGACTATAATTTTTTTAAAACTTATAACAGTTTAGTTTAGAGGATAGGACAGCCAACCTATTGGTTCTTTGTTGTCTCTTATGTTATGTTAAAACATATCCATGATTGAAAACAAGAAAATTACAATAATAAGCAGTTTAATCATGATTTACTTTTAGTCTGGTAATGTATCATTATCTATAATAAAATGTGAAATCGAAAAAATTATTCATGTATTTTTAATAAAGACAAAATAGGCTATATGCTATGAGTAACAGTTTATTAAAATGTTCTTTTGCATAGTTTCAGTATGGTTGGTCATACCATTCTCAAATTATATATCTGTGTTTTTTATATTTGCTTTTCAATTAAGAAATTGAATGTAATATATAGTACTAAAATTTGAATTATAATCTACAGTTTGATACCAAAGTTATTGACACAAATTCATGAAATAGTAGTTCAATAAAATTGTGAATGCGAGTCAACAAACGAGATGACATGGCCTTTCACCTTTGACCCATCTCGAGAGAGTTAACTTACATTTTGGGGGCTCATGTGGTATATTCTTTTTGACTTTTTTGTTTCTTGTCATCTTCCACCTTTATTCTCGGTTTGATCCATATGACCCTTTCTCTGTTCAGTACAAGCTGTGGGTTGCTTCATTGCCTTCAAGGCTTCTTTCTGTTGAATTCATTTCCCATACAGAGGGCAGCATTGAATGAGAATAGCTGTTTATGTGAGAAGAGGTAATTACATATCAGAAATATATTTTCAGTATAGGAAAATTATAACTGTTTTGTTTTGAAGAATAATCTAGGTTTGAATTTTTGCAAATTTATTCATATGTATGTGTGTATCAGTGTGTTTACTTATTAATCCCTCTTACGATACCAACTTGTCTGTGCAGTTTTATGTATTGAGAAAGGCTTTTGCAGTATCACCATAACTTTGTATTGGCTGTGGCTGTTATGTGGCTTGCTGATTTTCATATTCAAAGTGATTTTATTATATTGTACTCAACTGTGTATTTTGTTAAATTTAGTGTTTTATTATTTTCTGTATTTTAATTTTATATAATGTTGTCCTATTGTTTTATTTCAAAAAATTTGTTTATATTTCTGCAGTGTGATTTATAACTGAAGACCTACTTGTGGGATTTTTAACTACATTTTTAAGAAACTAACATATTTATTATAATTCTTAGTGTACATTCTTTTGTGTAAAGGTATTTTGTTAAATAAAGCAGAATGTATACATTTTTGAATTTAATTTCATGGAGGACCTGCTATCACATTACTGGAATAATAAATTTAACATACACAAATTGTGTTTAAAATGATCCGTTACATTAGTTAATTAATCCCACTAAGGAACATGCAATTTGTACATATCAGAATTTTAAAGTGTTCTTCACTATTACATTGACTAGATATATCAGTATTTTGTTTACCATATAGGAATCCCATTAGCTTGATAAATGTGATAATGAAATGTTATGTGTAATATAAATATCCTGTTACATTAGCTTGTTATTCATCATATTAGTATTGTCATATATCATATAAATATTCTGTTACATTAGCTTGTTATTCCTAGTATTACGGTTTTTATATATCAAATATTATGTTGCTATAACCTAGGACAATAGACTAGAACTAATTCATGATTTAAAAGTTGTAATGAAAAGGACTATTATCAGGAAGGAAAAGTATTATTATTGCTAGTATTTTTCTGTATCAACTTTATGTTAGTATGATATATCAAGCTGATAAAGAGGACCGGACAAGTATTTTCTAGTAATTAGTCATACTTATTAAGTTTCACAATGTCCACTGTTCTCCAGTGTATATTGCAGTTATTAATAAAATATTAATAAAATAATTTATAATGTGTTCTGAGAGAGACAAAATCATATCTGTATTTATGTGACATTAATTGCTCATTTACATTGGATAAAATAAAAAAACAACACACTTTTTTTTGCAGAACTGTAAAGGTATTGCTTGAGGCTGGAGCAGATCCAAATATTGGGGATGAATTTTCTAGTGTTTATCGAACAGCAAAGGAGAAGCAGGTACATTTCATGGAAGGTTTGTATCAGCTGCAAATTAGTTTTAACAAAAGTGTACTGTTTGTACACTGTTGTGAAAACATAAAATAATGCTAATCAGCTCATATTCAACAGGTAAAAATTAGTCTATACAGCATTTTTCTGATACAGACATGTTTATTCCGTGTGTCATGTCATAATAGTTCAAGTGTCCTTTATTTATATCGAACAATCTTTTCACAATATGTCAGTGCAAGTGTACAAATCTTAGCACAATTAAAAAATTTTTTTTTTCATATTCTCTAACCAAAGTACATTTTGAATTATTTGTTTGCTTGTTAAGCCCTCATTTGGTGTACCATTTTTGTGTGAGGTTCCAACCCTTTATAACTGCTGAAACATCTTCAAGATAACAAAAGTTAGGTAAGCTTTGGGAGATGTAATAATCATGTTAGCTGACAAAGTGATTTAAAGATGAATTAGACAAGCTGTAGATTTTATAACATGAGTTAGTTGAGAACATGATGTAGATGAGCAAGATATGATGATGTAGACAAGTTGTCAAAGATGATATATGTAATAGAACTTAGTAGAGCTAGGTGATTTAATCAATAAAATCAATTATCTAAAGCAGCAGTTACATTGATTAGTGTCACATAAAATGATTGATTAATCAAACTTATGATTTAATCGAGTAACATCATACAAATAAGGACCCCCCCTCCATTTTTTTATGCATTTTATTGCATTAGGTTGTATAAGCAGATGCAGATCTAGAGAAGGGATCCCAAACCCCTATCACTGCTACATGTTTTCCCCATAAATTAATAACTGTATTGTTTAATGTTGTATAAGCATGTACAGAACTAGGGGAAGGGTTAAGGAGTCCAGACCCCTGCCATTTGTTTCAGAAATTAAAATATACAACAAACATCTTTACACTTTCTCCAGACACACTAACAATGTTTCTAGACTTAATAGATATCCTTACAACAAAGTTAATGTTGTTTATGATACCTGCAGTTGTTATTACATCGACTTGTTACAGAATTGATTTTTCATTGTTTAGAAGTTATAATTCTCATTAGAAAGATTTTTTAGTATTGTTGATGTCCAAAATAAGTGAAAATGAAATGACGGAGATCTATTTTCTTTAATTTTATAAATTTTTTTCTTACAACTTTACTCAACTACTGATTTTTTATTTTTCTTATGTACATGGTTCCTATGGGTCAGGGAAACAGATTAACATCAGTGAATTTTAAATTTTTTATTCCCAGTCTGGAAAACATCAGAGAATTTCATTTCACAAAGAAAAACCAGGAAACACACAAAGTTCAGGGATATTTTTAAGACACAAATGGCTAAAAACTAAATTATTGTTAGCACCGAAAAGTTGTATACAGATTAATTCTAGTGCATTTAATAAGTTAACGTGTGTATTTTATGCATAAACGTTGTTTTGTCTACTTTGGTCTTGCTCATCATTAATTATCATGTTGAATGAAGGCAACCTTAATAAATTATGTAAATAGTAGCTAGGTTCCCACCCAAAGGGAGTGTAAGAACTCTGCACAAGATTTCATCTTTTCTTCCTAAAACCAGTTAATACAGTCTAAAATTAAAATCCCTTCACAAGTATCTATTTAATGATAGGCTGTGATTTCATATTACAAATTTTAGTACATTAGTTACAGTCCCCAGGTGAGTAGTCATAGAAGGAACATGTGCATATTATGCCATTTATATAGTTGTGTAGGAAAAAACTTGAAAATGTCAAGAAGTAAAAGATAGAATAAGTCTACACAGTTTTTGTGGTTTTTTCTTTTTATTTCATATCTGTACCTATATTTATTCAATTAATGATCATATAGAATCATAATTTATCAGTAATATTTTTTGACTTGTATGTCACTGAGCATTGCCTATAACACATGACATTATGATGCATAGTACAGCTTGAGCAGGGGTTGTCTACAGGCAATACCTTCATCTGTATCATGTGACACTCCATCATTCTGAAATTGCCCATTTTCAATTTTCTTTTGCTCACTGTATAACCTTTTACTCTTCCATGGAATTTCTTCTTTATACTATAGGAATCTCTGAACTAAGTTATTAACTTGTAGCAACAAAAATTTTTAATTTATGGAGATATAAGCAATCAAGTGAAGGCCACATGCCATGCCCCTTGTAGAACATCCTGCTTTCAGATATCATCATAAATTCCCTCTGACATTTGCTGTTGGATAATTTGTAACCAATAAAAAGCCAACATTCAGATATGATACCTTATCTCCACTCAAAATATAGCATCTCTTGTTCACTGCTTCCCTCTGTATGCACAAATCTTTTTACTTGCCACTAACCTTGATATTCACACCTACTCCATATGTTTAATGTGGTAAAGTTGTGCTGTAGTATGTAAATAAGCATGCAACAACCCTTCATTGATAGTAGTGTGGCATACCTTCTATACTGTATAACCCAGTCTTCACTTCTCGATTGGCACCGTGGCATGAGGATGTGTTCAAACTTCGCTTGTGTTTGATTTAGTTTTTTGCTTTTCAATTTCTTCAACAATTTAGTTGTTTCTCGTTTTGTTTTTTCTATAGTTTAACTTGAGTTACTGTAGTCGTTATTTTTGTTTTCACTGAAAGTTGACTTATAAGTTCTGAATTTTACAGTAGTTAACACTACTACTGCACCTCAACTTGCAATTTCTCAGTTTTCAGTCTTCACACTTTCAGCTGGAAAGGTCCAGGTTTTAGTACATCGTGAACTGGAGTCCATTATATAGCCCATGTTCTCTTCTGATCTCAAACCAAATGTTCCTTTTCCTCGTGAATCTGGACAAGACGATGATGATTTTATAACAATTTTCCACACCTTTCCTTTTCTGTGCAATCCCATCTTCCATCTGTGGATACCACCACCCTTTCTGCATTTGGTGTCACAGCTATGTTACCTTTTGTCTGTGTCCCTTGTGTCATATGACTCCTTTCTGTCCTTTCCTCTGACAATCTAGTTTCCCTCCCTCTCCAGATATTGAGGTTCATGCTGACCAGTTTGTAACCCAGTTGCATTCTGGGGTCAACATGCCTCTTACCTTTGATAATCATGCTTTGGAGTACTATCATTTGGATTTTCTGTTTCTTGATTCTCAGACTTTGGAGTCTTTGTTCCATATGTGGATTCTGATCCTGATCTGAGAGATTTACCCAAGTACAATGTTTCTGCTTCCATTTGTCTTTCTCCACCCTTCTGAGATACTTCTCCTCCATCTACTTTCCAAGGCTATCCATCTCTTTCCTGTGGGGTTTTTGGAGGATACCTGCTCTCTTATATATTCCACATTGGTGTACTTGTCCTCCTCAGCTCTTTCCCTAGCTCTTCTTTTGTTGCAATCTCCTGGGTAAGGATGTGCTGTTAACTGAAGTGTGCCTACCCATGTCTTATTTATGGAACCTCTGTATGGTCATTTTTATGAAGAATGTTTTTGGAAATATTTCCAACTCTTTGGAGTCTAGGGTGGAGGCTGCTCATCAACACTTCTCCCTTTTGTCCTTGGCCTCTCACTTATAACAGCCTTTGGATGCTCTTGTTCCTGTTTTCCACCCTTTTTCTTCTGTCTCTTTTCCTGTTCCTCTTTCCCAGGTCTCATCAGGTCTAAATTACTCATTGCTGGGCCCACTGCTGCCAACAGTATTGCTGATTATCACATGGGTTCTGGCAAGGTCAGAGCCCATTAGGTCAAGTTTGTGCATCTATGGAATGATTTCACCTTGTGTGCTTCAGGTGTTGTCAGAATGCGTTACCTTTGATTTTGTCAACCCTCCTCTCTTATCCCCATATCCCATCAGTTTCTCCTCCCTTAGGATCCTATTTCTTGCCAGCATCTCTCTGAAGCAGTTCATACTCTTTTTCTCAAGGATGCTATAGAATCTGTCAGTTATCCTTCTCCAGGATTCTATTCCAGGTTGTTTGTAGTTCCCAAGAAGACCAGGGACAGGTGTTCTGTTATAGATCTTCCCTGTCTAAACCGTTTTATGGCCTTCCTCATTTCACCATGGAGTTTTTCCTCACACATCAGTGGGCAATTACTCCAGATCTTTTGATGACAAATGTGGACTTGCAAATGCATACCTTCACATCCCTATTTACCCCTGTGAGAGTTGCACGATCAGTGGAATTTTGCTTGTGATCCCATGGACTATGGTATCCTTCTCCCTCCCTCATTGCACATCGATTTAGCCTGGTGTAGCCAATTATGGGTGCTGGAGCTTCTTGTCATTTGTTGGACTCTGGATCATTTCCTGCCTTTAATACAAGACAAAGTTGTCATGATCCATTCCAACAATTTTAATCTTGTTGCAGATCAGATGTCTCCTACTGACAAGATTCTTCCCATGGAGTGGTCCCTTGATCCTCAGGTGTTTCGATTGTTGTGCATCCAGTGGGGTACTCCTCTTCTGGAAGCATTTGCCACCCATCTCAATTCCAAGGTACCTTTTTTTTTTCCCCGATTCCACATCTTTGGCTTTGGCAGTGGACTCCCTCAGTCAGGTTTGATTCCACACTTAGCTTTATCAGTTAGGATTGATCCCACACTTAGCTTTATGCCTGTCCATCTCCTTCCCTGAGTTCTATCCATTATCCAGTCCACTCTGTGTCAGATCCTTCTCATCACACCTTCTTTTGGCATGCTCAGTCTTGGTTTTCAGTGCTTACTCTCCTTCATTCAGCACCTCTGTTACCTACTTTGACAACTTTGGTCACTGGCGTATCATCCCAATGTCACCACATTCCAGCTTTATGTGTGCCATTTGTCTGGTCCCTTGCAAGGAGGTACGGACTCCCCCATCGTAGCTTCCATTCTGTCCGTCTTTCCTTCTTAATGGTGCATCAGCAAAAGTGGCATGTTTTTTGCTGTGGTCTCTGCACCATGATTACCTTCCTTTCCATCCTACTGTTCCTCATGTTTCTGCACTTTTTACCTGGCAGTTTGACAATGGTTCTTCTGTGTCTAACATCCCTTGCTATAGAGCAGTCTTGTACAATACCTTCCCTATTTCCCATT